CGCCTTACGAATCATCAGTGGCGCAATCGCTCGAGTGCTGTTGAAGCAAGCATTCATGGTTCATGCTGCACTCCCTGAAACTGCTCATTGACAATAGAACTGAAACAATATCATCGTCACTTATCATTTACTGATCCAAATAAGCTCTATTTTATGAAATATTTTTGGCTTCCTTGTGAAAAACATATGCCTCATACATATTCGCCGCCTTAGCAACGAGAATGGAAACCTCCTAAAAGCACTTCTTAATATCAGTATATGTTACTCATCTTTTTCTTCTGTGCCCGTCAAAATCAGGCTGCCATATTAAAGATCAAAGCCATGTACGAAGTAATGCATTTGTATCTGAGTGTGTATCTCAGCGTCATCTTTTCTTTCGCACGCTCTTTCTGGGTCACAGCACCCAAGCAGAATTTTCAATGTCTACAATGAAGTCTCCTGTTTTAAGTGACCGACCTATTGGCTCGATTATCCTTTGAGATTTTAATACACTAACGAAATAATTAGTTCTGTCTCATAGTAAATTCGATTGACCGTACGGCAACCACTGCAGGTGCATTCCTTGTAATGGTGTGACAATGAAAGTGATTTATTCGCACCGTGTGCGAATAGCAACTGCTATTTACGAGATAATTTGGTTTATCATTTGAGCTGATAATACAGATTGGCCATCGCAGGGATTCAGAGCTGTAGAATGGCTAACAATCGAACTGTCAGCTTCAGAAAATCTTTACAGTGACCAATTTACATCGTCAATTCAGTTAATAAAACCAAATTATCTTGTAATGACGCCCCCCACCGATGTAGCCCTACAGTTTATTTAGAAACTTGCCCCCCCTTTAGCTATCATTTATAGTTTGCGTCACCACGTACTGCTTCGCCCTCTTTGTCTACAAGAGTGTAAAAACAGAGAGACTTCAGATAGACTTCATCCTTGGATCAAGGTATCAAGCCATCTCCACCTTTTTCCTGAAAATCAAAGTAGAGCATAGGCCGAGTCATATCTTTTTTTTTTTTTTTCAAGAGGTCACTTTTCTGGTAAGTCAACTTTAAGGGCTTGTTATGTAACTGAACATAAAATATCTCAGAGGAGTGATTACGGCAGAGCAAATGAATGAAGAGCAATTAAATGAACGTTATAAAAGAGAATATAAGAGTAAGAAAATGAATGAGTTGTGTCAATGTTGCAATCCACGTGTAAGCAAAGAGCAGCAAAAGCTTAAAACAAGAGCAGCTAATGTTTCAGAATCGTATCTTTCATTTTGGATTTGAAATATCATTAAAGCAGCACGCTCCTTCGGGTCAAATCACTGAACCAGACTTTAACGTATGCAAAGTAGTCTGTTGTCTCTGGTGACAGGCACAATTGTTTAATTAGGTTATGAGATTTCAGAAAATCAATGGATGATAAGGAATTCAGTGTCAGAGTCGATTGGCTGGGTAGCAACCAATAATCATTCTCCTCGATAATTTGGAGTAGAGAAACATGTTTATCAACTTGTTGTATAAAGTGTAGCATGATTTATCTCGAACGCATGATTTTCCTGCAAAGCAAAAAATGAAGGAACTGGAGGATGTAAAAAATACTGAACTAAAAGTGGGAATGTAAATGGAATTTCAAGACCCTTAAGCTTGAACTTGAAAAGTAATAAGTGAAGAAAAAGTGTGTATTACAAGATGATTATTAAGATGATTATTTCGAAGTAAATGCTCTCATCCATTACTTTCTTTTTCATTTTATGAATTTTTTTCTTCAAAAAGGAAGTATAATAATAGATTGTTGTTATTGTTGTGAGATATTCAGTAGCGATATATTAAAATTAAAGAGTTCTCGTAAAGTGGTGAGGAGTAATTTGATCGAACATATACAGCAGGATAATTTCGAGTTATTTGTCTTTCAAATACGAAGGAAAGAGCATCTCTAGAGAGTACGGTGGTTTTGTGTAAAACTCAAACACTGAAGGACGAAAAACGTGCTGAAGGTTAACGCTCAGGTAAGCTCAGTTTAAATCAATCTTCCTTGACAATCATCACTCTCGCACTACGTCACTGAAATATCGATTTTCCGTGAGAGCAAACATCGTAGGCTCGTTTCATGACCATGACGTCGAGTATATGTCGTATGAACAAAATACAATCTTTGAAGCAAAAACTTTTTGATAATGTTCCGGCATCATTTTCTGAAAGGCTTGTAGAGTCAGAAATGTAACATATTCAACCGATTCAGTCCCAATAATTGGAACAAAGTACTTGTGTCTATGAAACTCAAGATGTCTATTTTACGGAAGTTTTCTATGGTAAACTTTATCTGGGCAAATGGTAAATGTTGCAAAGCGCGGGAAACTGAAATACTTGCGAAGGGTAAATTAAAAAAAAAAATGCTGCTGGACAGCACCCAAAAATGTTCCTTCCAGAACTCGATAAAGAGCCAAAACTGCATAGCCAGAAGATGGAAATTTTAGTTTCAGTTTGACAATGACTTCTTTCGCTGTTTCATCACAAGTGCTTGCATTAATTGACTACCGCTAGCTATCACGAGTTTGACGTACACCCTCAAGTAAGGCCCTGTTAGCTAAAACATAGTGACTACAGCTTTTTGTAATCTTGATGAAATAAGATCTCTTGCCTAAAATTAAAACATGAATTCAAGAAATTCACATTTACCAAAACTCGTGTAGAACTGTGTTAATAATTTCTGTACTGAAGTAACGCTCATGTCATCCTATTTTACTTGGTTCCTGTTTGTTTTTCGTAAAAATTGAAAATACAAAATTGACACCGTTCGTTTCATATGACAGTTAGACTTCACGTCTTTAGATCATGCGGACACATTAAAATAATCTTTCAGAATAACTGTTTTGCTTGACCGGATTTTGCAAACTGATGATATGATGAATTCTCGTTAGTCGATAAGCTAAATATCATATCTGTCCCTGAAGCACTTTGCTCCAATGAAATAAATACTCTGTTTAGCGTAAAGCCAGTCTATGATGCGCAAACTAATAGCATTGTGAATGTGTTGCTTTCTCTGAATTGAAGGTACATATCCTTATCCATTGCCTTTCAAATCTACTTGTCATCAAGTTTGCAGAAGGTAAGAACTCAAATCAAACTGAATAAATTAGGTGCTGTCACTATACTGATCAACTTTTCCAGTGTATACCAACAATAACCAATATATAACTCGGCTACTTTGCAACAAGTAGTCAAAGTCTAATAAAATGGCATTGTTGTTTCAATGAACCATCGGTGGCGCTGAGCCTAAAATTTGTTTCTAGTGAGAAACGAAGGCTTTTCAAGATGCATGGGTCGGTAAAGTTGGTGCGAGTCTTTTCCTTGTGATATTTAGCAACTCGGAGACCCAGAAGCGTAGCCACTGATTATTTAGGTGGTCTTTTTGTACATGAGGATCCGCTTCCAAATTGATTCGAAATTTTCTACAAAAAATCCTAAGACCTTTGAGAATATGTGACGAGAATAACGTTGATTAAGCTCGAGGTAATTTACGAAAATTTTTCATTTGTATCTTGGTTTCATGGAACAATAAGAGTACAATTTACTCCAATTCAGCTGAAAAAGTAGAGTATATATCAAGGAAAGGGATCTAGCCTCTTCGAGCTTCTTTACAATTTCTGTTTGAAATAGGATGTCCCCATTGATGAAAGAATACTCTTTTGCTATTGATTTGAAGTTTTCTTAAAAAAAATAAGAGTATTGAGAACATGCCACGAAAATAACGTAAACTGGGATCGATAACTAAAAATTTAAGAGAATTACCCGTATTTACGTTGGTTTCGTGGAGTAGCAAAACAACAATTTACTCCATTTCAGCTGGAGAGGTATTTTACATCACAGATTGAGAAGGAACATTGTCCACTCCAGACTACCCTAATACGTACCCTAGCAACTCGAATCTCACTTTGATCAAGTCTCTGTATCTTGGAAACAGAGTTAAGATTACTATCCAAGATTTTGAGGTAAGGAAAACAGCAAACCTGATATGATTGTTCTTGTATAATTTGACTTGCCTTTCTTGCGAACGACTGGATTAGACGTGAGCAAGCTAACAGTATAAGCTCAATTACCTTGATTGCGGTTTGATGAAAAGCAAAGTCGTTCCTTTGATGGGGGATTTTCCGAACAGTCGCTGATCGTGATAATAGAGCCTGCCAATATATATAGTCAATCCTCTTTTAACATTCACGTAACCCGTGGAAGCATTTCAGTTTTATGCAGTAACCGCTCTTTTAAGGCTAAATTCGACTGCAGGATGATAAACTCGTAGATAGCTGTATCCTCTTCTTGATTATTGGTTTTCATGTGATTCTCCTCTCAACAGACGCAATGCAATAGAGACTACTTAGAAATCAGAGATGGATACAGCGTAGTGTCTCCACGCAATTTTGTGGGAGCCTTAATAACTTGCAAAGTGAGATTACTTCATCCGGTACTAGCATCTTACTGCGTTTTGTTTCTGACAATGTAAATGACACCGTCATGGATCGAGGATTTTTCTTGAAACACTCTGGTGAGTCAAATAGTTACAACTAACTAGTTCTTAAGGGGTAACATTGAGGGTGAACGTTATAGTATGATTAGATGGGATTCCACTGCTGGAATAGGTGCGTTCCAACATAATTGCATTATTGATGAATTATTTTATTTATTTATTTATTTATGGAATTTTAGAAATGTAATTTTGAACTTCTATTTATTTTTGATTTAATATTTATTGTAAGGCGCAGTTGAATATTTTTATAGAAACTGCGCGGTATAAATTTAAATTTAATAATTTAATAATGTTCCCTTCGCCGTCATCTGTCGGGAGGGAACCTACTGAAATATGGAATTGGTCTTAGACAAGTGTATCACCACGATGATTGACCGCCTCTTTTTTTCAAAACATGGATATCGCTAGCTCCACTTTCTCTCAGAAACGTGAGGAGACAAAAATACTTGGGTAGCTTATTTCTGTTTACAGGCGTATGTAAAGTACACATCAACCAGACCAGTGGAGTTACTGCCACGCCAAATTACCCCAGCAACTACCCGAGCTGTATGGACTGTCTCTGACGATACAGCTTCCCCCTGCCATGCTAATCCCGCTTGCATGCGAAAACATCGCCATAGAAAAAGAAGAGGGCTGTCCGTATGATTACATGGAGATACTGGAGGGCGATGGTCTTAGCTCTACGGTCATAGAAAGACATTGTGGAGTTTTAAATCGATCTGTGACAGTCGAGCGAAACGGAAGTTTGAGCATACGGTTCGTGTCCCACAAGGATAAAGAAAATAAAGGATTCCGATGTTCATATAACATCGTCAGAGGTTAGTTGGCAATAATCAACATTCACTCAAAGTATTGTATCTCCAAATAATCAAACTAGTTGCCATATTTTTATAATGTTACAATAAATCAATAGTAGTGAGCCTCAACTTGTGTACTCAATGTAGTTTTCCAAACATATCAACCTTGATCACTCTCCCAGGGTTGATTCTTTGCACTGTTGGCTGTTCGTCCAACTGCCCCCTCTTCGCAGAAGGTTCCAGTCCTTCCTTGCTCTCAGATATGACAGTGCGAATGACGAGGAAAGTCTGAGAACGAGCCTTTCCCTTTTTACGTAGAGTCTACCAAAGTCATTTCAAAAGTTTAAAAGTGAGAGTATATCATTATATTTTGTTCGCAATCATTCAGGTACCTCTTCGGTAGCAGTAGGAACACAGTTACACAGCTTGGTCCTAAAGACAAGTTCATTTTCCTTTTCTTTGAAAACTGATGTGTCTTCTAGTAGTGCCAAAATAGATACACTAAGCTTGACTCTGAGTAACAGTGGCTTAAATACAGTTGCTGTTCATTCTTCACAGCAGACTATATCTATTACGACTCTTGCTAGTCCTTCTTCTTCCAGGATAGATAGCAGAATCTTTCTGATAACAGAAATTGCAGGTTTGGTCACTCCCATTTCCCAGGAAATCCAAGCTACCGTGAGTTTATTACTCCCTTTTCGGAAAGACAGCAAAACGCCTTTGATAGGAGAGACTTACTGATGGTCTTCTGATGGAGAGTCTTCTGATGGAATATATTCGCTATCAACTCCAACTCGACAAGGGCTTCAATCTAACATGACTGTTTCCATTCCTTTACAAACAAAGAAGACAACCCTTTCAACAATGGAGTCTCTGAAAGGAGCTTTTTTCAATGACAGCAATCACCCGTCTGGTACAGTATACTCATCGTCAGAGACATCTTACTCGGGGTAAGCTGGCCAAACTCCTCATTGGCTAAAAACAACTTTAACTGCTCACATCCCTTCATGGGAAGACAGAAGAAATATTTTGGTCAAAACCACATCATCAGGAAATCTTTCAAGCAAACAACAACATCCAGGGGTCGATCTGTGGACGACTACTTACAGACGATTTGTTACTTCGTTTCAAGCCCCCCGATCATCGTCTCCCATGTCAACTGTCTTTTTAACAAATGAAGGTACGTATGAGGATCGCCATAGCTTCAATATAAAAACAGAATGGGCAAAAAGCACTTTTTCCTTCTCTTTTCGTCATATTATATTCCTAGTAACTGTAGCTGGGTGTCTTCAATCCCTCCCTCCCCCTCTTCCGAAAAAACAAAAAGAGAAAAGTAAGCTACCGATTAAGCAGCTATGGACAGCTTTTTTGGCCCTTACAGGCCTATGGGTATGGTAGAACCAACTGTCTTAAGTGCACAACCAACATCAAAATTCGTATACAAATGCGGACTCCTTGGAATTCTTTTCTATCATATTAGTTGTTTTTTGATTTCAGAAAAGACCTCGCTCCGGAATGTTATGGTGCATAAGCCACGGCTACAAACAGTGAATGTCGGATATATAATTTATATTTGTATAATAAATAATTTTATCCAATCAGACTTGACCTAATTACTATGCTATTACAATATTTGTTGTAATTTGTTGTTGTTTTTATAATCAACAGGCGTTACATCGATATCAAACACTAAACTTTTACCTTTAAGTCATGCAAGTCTTTTTGGAATCATGCTATTGTCAAGTCCTTTCAGTAGAACTACGAACTTAAGTAAAGACAAGACCACACCAACTCCAAGTGATGCAATGTTCATAAGTCAAACTGGTGTCACTCTCGATGCAAGTAAGTTTGACGTCGACCTGGGTTAATTTTTTTGTCTTAAACTTCTTCGCCTTATTCCCTGATGGGGGCTCTGTAGGAAAGCCCTCCTTTCAGTATTTTAGTCGACATACACAAGTATTAAGTCCACTAATGAGTCCACATAGACAAGTGCTAAGTTCCGTCGACAGAGACAAGTATCGAGTCCACTTATAAGTGAAGTTAAAAAAGTATAAAGTCAACGTATAAGTCGACTGAGAGATTTGTAGGTTCACTGATAAGTTGACATTGACATGTATTTTAAAAGTCAACTTATGAGTTGACAAAGACAAGTATCAAGTCCACCTATAAATTGACATAGACAAGTATTAACTTCATTATAAGTCGACAGAGATAACTTTTAAGCCCACTTATAAATCGACATAGACAGGTACTAAATCAATTTATAAGTCGACACAGATGAGTTTTAAGACCTTTTAAGTCCACTTACAAGTCAACATAGAAACGAATTAAGACAAGTATTAGGTCCACTTATAAGTCGACACAGAGGAATTTTAAGTCCACTTATAAGTCGACAAAGACAATTATTAAGTTCACTTATAAGTCAACACAGAGAAGTATTAAGTACACTTATAAGTCAATAAAGACTATTAAGTCAATAAAGACAAGTATTAAGTACACTAAAAAGTCGACACAGAGAAGTATTAAGTCCATTTATAAGTCGACAGAGACAAGTATAAATTCCACTTAGAAGTCGGCACAGTGAAGTATTAAGTCCACTTATAAGTCGACACAGTGAAGTATTAAGTCCACTTATAAGTCGACGTAGTAAAGTATTAAGTCCACTTATAAGTCGACAGAGACAAGTATAAAGTCCACTTATAAGTGGACACAGTGAAGTATTAAGTCCACTTATAAGTCGACGCAGTGAAGTATTAAGTCCACTTATAAGTCGATAAAGTCAAGTATTGAGTCCACTTATAAGTGGACAAAGACAAGTATCAAGTCCACCTTCGAGTCAACACAGACAAGTATATGTTACGTCCACTTATAAGTCATTGTAGACAAGTATTGAGTCCACTAATAAGTCGATAGAGACAAGTTGTAAGGTCACTTATAAGTTAACAGAGACAAGTTGTAAGTCCTCTTTGAAGTTGACATCGACAAGTATATTAGAAGTCCATTTATGAGTCAACTCAGACAATTATAAATAATTATAGTCTAATATATCGACAGAGACAAGTTTTAAGCTTGAGCCTGTGAGGAGTTCCCTGTGCCCTGTCAGTAAGTAGGGGACTATCTGTACCCGTTGAACCAATGAGGACCAATTAATGCCTGTGAACTTGCGAGGTTATTTTTGTGCCTTCTTTTGACAACGTCTCTGGGTGCCATCTGTGTCCTGTAACTGCATGTTTGAGCAGGGGTAATTCCTCTGCCTTGCGACACGTGTTAGGGACCACAAGAAAAGGTCGTTTAGTAATTTACTCATATATATTCTTAATTAGTTCTGTGACGAAGGTGATGATAATTGTACAAACAATAATGATGATTACAAAGCCAAGAGAGCATTAACACTGAAGTATTTTCTCTCATCATTTGGTCTGTCGTGTTTTGCTTTCCCTTTCTTCTTATGTTTTCAAATGTTTTTCACTCTGAGATGTGGTCCGAATTTACAGCTGCCATGCCGCCTCACCTAAAGCATACAGCTGAAAAAGTGCAACAGACAGTAGCTGCCAAGTTTGAAGGAACCACCAGGACTTACTTGGAAGGTTTCACGCTGTGAAAGCAATGGACAACTACGAACCCTCTACTTCCTCGCTAGCCCTTTCTTTAAATTTGTGGCAGTATACATCCAGTGTATATTGGAACAGTCATAAATACCTTCTCCCATTTTGAATATAGTGTATGATATCACCAAGGCTCAGTCGTTAGTCGCCGGCCTTTCCGACTTTTCCGACCAAGCGGTCACCTTGGCAATACTTTTTGGATCCTCTAAGAGGATCCCCTGAAAAGTCAAAAGCTAAGACTTGAGGAGCCCATCAGTTTGAAGGCGTTACTTGCTCTGGTTTGAGAATACGAAGACAGTCCCATTGCATATAACCACAGGACCGTTACTATGTGCCTCGTTGGCTGTGCAAGCTTTCCCAGATTCAGCGACCATTGTACATAAGATGTCGGGATATTAAGATCTCTTCCTCATCTCTATTTTTATAGAATCTTCGAAGACATATCAATAACGGACGGAAGCTTGGGTGTCGATTTCCCCTGTGTTCTAGTCAAGTGGCGTATCCAGTGGGCGCTGTACGGGAACATTGATGCTGCAGGGATCAAGCTTGAGGAAGATCTTTCACCGTTCGGCACATTTGCATGACCGAGCTGTTCATGCAGATTCCGTTTTCTAGGGACTAGTTCAACATCCACACAAGAGCTGACCAGTGAAGCATAATGAATGGGATCGCCGATACGTCCGGCAAAGATTAACTAGCATAGCCTGATCCTAAGTTACGGTTAATAACCTGTCTTCGTTCACTTCAGATCATATTCAGCACATTTTAAGGTGATGAAAAAAAAAAATAAAATAAGGAATAGCAAGTAGACAACGTTTTACCGAACATTAAATTCTTGGAGCTAACATTAATCAAGTTGGCTGGCAGATAGTAAGTAGAGAAAAAGGAGTTCATCGACACTGCCCTCATAAACGGTGTCACGATCAAGTTGATGAAGGTAGAGCAGAAATACTATGTTAAATACGGTAGATCAGAGGTCACACTTTAAAGGCGAAGCTAAAAAAAAGTGCCTATGTAATAAACCAATGTGTTTAAGCTAATGAGTAGATTGATCTTCCGGCTTTCATTGTTTGATGTTATGCACACAGATAGTGAAGAAATTGTCCGCCTTGAAAATTGTCTTTAAATAACAATTTTGCATACACTGTAATTTGGAGACATCAATCATAACGAATACTGTACTTTGACCCCGCCCCGGTTGTTCAAAGGGTGGTTAACGTTATCTGCTTGATAAATCCTTATTTGGCGGATAGCGTAGTTTGTTAACTTGTTTGCTCGATAGCGATTTATCTGTTGGATAAAGTTATGTGCCCTTGCAACAACTGCCGGGGTCCAGTTCAATGATAATCCTGTGCAAATGTTAAGCAGGCTCTTCCATTACTTTGTATAACATGAAGTGCTTGGTTCAGAGAGGGAATTCTGCAGCACTTGCAGCTCGAGGAATTTGAATATGATTGTGGACATTTTGAAAGTTCCTGGGGGGGGGGAGGGAAAGGGTTGTTTGTTCAATTTCCCAATATATCTGATGTAATTTCAAAAACGGTGGCGCGACTGAATGAGAATGGTCTACTTATTTCCGAAAAAAAAAAAACCAAAAACAAAAAAATGATTCCTGAGAATTTACTATGATGGGCACTTCTCACTTCTCTTCTCTCCAGTGATAACAGGGGGAGGAGGGGATTCAACAAATTGCTATTGCAGAGTCTCACTTGTAAGTAGAATTACTCAGAACATGAACCCGCTTTATTACAATATTTGAAGAGGACAAGGTCAAATAGGGATGTTCGAATGAGACAAAAAAAAAACAACAAACTTTTCCTGTCATACTGTTGTATATCACATCATTCCTACTTGCTACTTACTTTACCAAAACTCTTCAATTTTTAATTTGTGGTAAAAAAAAGTTTGCTATCACTTTTAAGCTATGTTCATAAGTTTTCAAAGAGCAAGTGAATTTCTTTTCGCTGTGTAAGACGTTTTAAAGCGTTTTGGTACTCAACAAGTTGGCTGTGAAAATGAGACTAAGAGAAGTAAATGGGAAGATAACATAAAACAATAAGAACGAAAATAAATTGTTTTCTACTGTTTTCAAATTCCTTTGTTTTTATTATTTTCCCAATTATAGTTCAAGGCAATGCCGCAAGACGTTCTGAGCGTTTCGTTTTTCTTTCTGAACATTTTTTCATGCCATCTTAAAAAGCGATTGATTAATTAATCGTGTTAAGCAAGTGTTTGCCAGATCGACCTTATTGATAATAATTAAAGTGCACCTGACCCCTAAATTTTTTTCACTTAAAAAAATCTTCCTGCTTTGGTATTTCCTCGAAAAAATTGTTGGATTTGGTTCAATCCTCATTTTTTTATGCCCTGTTGAAGTCGAGATCCGAATGGACCACGACCGCGTAAATGGGGATCTGGGCAGAGTAGACTTGTGACGTCATTTCGAGAAGACGCTCAAGAAATTCTCGGCCAGTCGTCGACCTGCGAAAGCCTTTCTAGCACTAGATTCATTCTGCGGCATATTTGCGACCAATATCGATCTAACCTTCCAAACATAACCAGTAAACTGTGCAAAATGGCGCGAAATACAGATTGTTGGGTTCTCGAAGTGACGTCACATTAGTCGCCAGACTCTTGATCCTTGAAACGCGGTCGTGAGTCAACGGGGCGCAAAAATTTAAGGATTTGACCAAATCCAAATATTTTTCGAAGAGATACTCACCAAATCATGAAGATTTTTTTAAACGAAAAAAAAAATTTAGGGGTCAAGTGCACTTTAACACTTCAGTCTTAAGTAAGTTATTTTGTTGTTTCTCCGTCTGGTCCAATGCAGCGGACACTAACCTTTTCAAGCTACAAGCGGTCCAGAATTTTGCAGCCCGGATTATCTGTGGTCTCAGAAAATTTGACCACGTGAATCCGCTTATGAGAGAACTGGCTACCTATTAAATCTCAGCTATATCTCCATGACGCCTTACTTGCTTTTAAATGTATGACCGGCTCCGCTCCTACTTATCTCTCCTCGAAGTTTCTAACACGTGGAGAGATAAGTGGTCGCACGACCAGAAGCTCCCAACTTCTGCATATACCCTTCTATAGAACTAAATCTGAAGAAAGGACTTTCTTTTATCGCACAGTAAGTCTATGAACAGTTTAGATAACACCCTCAAACTCTATAATTCTTCTCGGGATTTTAAGCGTAAACTTAGAGCCAAATTACTTGCTGCTTTCCTTTCTCATCGCTCTTAGTTGTAACTTTGGCGAACATTTATTAGCATATTTTAGCTTTCTTAATTTTTCTATTATACTTTTTAGTATTGTAATTTTGTAATTTTTGGATCATTGTCACCGAAAAACCCTCTTTAGGGAATTTCAATAAAGTTTGTATTGTGTTTTCCCTGATTAACATGCTCTGAAATTTTTATTGTTCCGAGTTTCGTGAACGTTTTCATGACTTTTGTGATACCTCTTGCAAGTCACAAACAGTTGCCTGTTACTGATACATATAACTCACTCCTTCAATGGTTGGATTCACGTTGTTAAACAATCCTCAAAATCAGCAAGATAAAAACGTTTTGAGACCACTTTCAAACCAACAATTGATAACACTTTGTTTCCTTTGATAGAGTGTGACGCGGCATAAACTTGAAGGTTTCTTGGAATTCCATATCAATTATGTCATGAATAGGACAGATTAGGAAAAGTAAGTTACACCGGGTTTATAGGAGGGAGGGGGGGGGGAGTGTCAAGTTTGAAACAAACGTTAACAGACTTGAACTTGCTCCAGCTAGTTTTCGGGACAAACTCTGAGATAAAACATCTGAACATCAGGGCTCATCAAGAGAGAGCCACTTTACCTTTTCTAAGTCTCGCCCACCGGTCACAAGGGAAAACTTTTGTTAATAATGGAGTTATCTGGCATTTGTCTTCACTCGTCGTTTTGTTTTCTGGTTCTAAAAGAATCTGGCCCGGCGGTCAGAAACAGCCTAGAGAGCATCCTTTTCAGAAGGAACCACCGACAGAACCTAAAAAGGGAGAGACACTTCTAGTCCCAGTAAGTGATTAGTTTTCTACACGAGAGCTGCTTAATTGCGGATACCTTCGATTTACTGGAGTATAGACGGGTGGATGATCATTCCGTTACACCACGCATTTCGCAATCAGAAAAAGTATTTGGGGAAGAACTTGAATGGAACAGTGACTATGAGCAAGACTTACCCCTTTCCAACACAACCACATTCAAAAACTTTTAAGAAGTTTTTTGGAATAACTTTTTGTTTACAATGGCTTGAAAAGCGTAGCATGAAGTTCCTTTAACCCTCCCCTGAGGGCGAAAAAAATCGGCACTTGTGGTTTGAGGCAAACGTAAAAATAATATTGAGCGGCTTCGCATCATTACCCTCGGCGGGCATTCAACAGCCCATTACGTGCCTACAAATAAGTGGATTCGGAATTGTTAATAAGTCACATGGAACCGACAAAGATGCTTGGCCTTTGAAGTACGTTAGCAAGCCGGATGGATCATAATATTTTGACATTCGAACAATTCAGGAAAAAATTGTAAGCTGTTTGTCGTGGTTGCCTTTGTAATAAATCACCATTACGCGAGCAAATCTCTAACAAATCGTTATACTGTCTGTCTTGCAAGGTTTCCAGAAGCAGTACATACAAACTATTTGAACATATAAAATTAGTTTAAATTTTTAAACTAATTTTATATGTTCTTAGTTTTAAAAATTTATCACCTATAGCGAGTATGAACAGAAAAAATAATTCGCTCAAACGAAATGTAATTATAATAATTATCAGGTTTGTTTTTTTTTATTTCTGATAAGGCAGCAATAATTCTTTCTCTTGAAGAACTCCACTTAACACCAAAAAAGGTACTGAGGAGGAGTCGCGTCTGCGAACTTGACCTGATCTTGGGGTGCCAATCTGCAAGAAAAAAAGTCGCCGAGGCCAATTTCAACCAAGCAACAACAAACTTAGGATAACAACAACATCAACCGAAAAATGTTTAATGTATTTTTTGTTGTCGTTGTTGTCGTTTACATGGAAAAATGAGTGGTCATAGGAGTCAACACTTTGACTAGCACTCTGGTATCTTTGGTCTCATGCGATGAGTCACTGTTAGACCCATAAATATGATTATAGGAGGGCAAGAAATGACATTATTTAATAGATCATGCAAGACCAAAAGTTTCAAATTCGGTAAATGACAGGAGAATAATTTATACTTGTGATATGTGCAGGACAGCAACTGTAGTTTATTAACAACAATAGAGCGAAGCGAGAAATAAAAATAAAAGAGACGCAGTGTGTACCTCGGTAAATAGGTTCTTTCTCCTCTTCAAACTATTCTAATCTCAGTAATTACTATATATTTGAACAAGGAGCAACAAAGTGCAAATTGATCCTTGAATATGCTTACCTATGGTTTTTGCTGCTCGCACGGAACAAAAAAAGTAAAAAAGAAATAACCAAATTCTCCAGTCGAGTGAAATTTTTGATGACTGAGAAACAACTACTCGCATCTTTCGCAGTCAAGCTAGGATTTTTATTTTAACGCAGGCGAGCCGTTACTTTCCTCCAGAAAACAATGACAATACAAAAGATGTATGTGAGTCTCGTAATCTAGTCACGCCAATTAACTCTGGTATTATATCACCAGCCAATAGGAACGAGGGATTAAGTTGATAACTTATGAATCCGCGTCACTTCATTTCCGATTGCTCTTTTACGAATAAAAGACAAGGTTGTAAAAGATTTCAGCTCTTCATCGGCTGCGAATACCACAACAAACGGGAAAGATGTCTTCGGCTTTAGACAGCTCGAGCGGTAAGTCCTAATCTGTTACTGGAGCAGTCGAGGGTTTGACATGGGAAATGAAGAGTCTGACAACACGACTGTAATTTTTGCTTGTTTGCATGCTAAACATGAGTGACCCCGAAGACACGTTCTATCATTTTATGAAGGGGGTTACAAGATAAATAGTTTATTTCTTTGGGAATCGTTATCAATTGACCCTACAGATAAAAGCAGTCGCTAAATAGCCGAGTGCTTTATTTTGGTCCTATAGCACCGTTCTTTCGCATCATCAACGAGCATTGCATGCCCCAGAAGTAATCACCGCAACGCAGTACTTCACTAAGAAATTGATCTCAATAACCTATGCAAACGCAGTGTTAAGATTCAAAGCGTTTTTTCCGTTACGAGGTTCAAGTTTTGTTACTTACGAAAAAACTTCTTTGTTTCGAACAGAAACTGGTCGCAGAAGAAGATATCGCGATCGGGTTGCGGACCAAGAAACGACTGAGGAAATGGTAAATTGGAATATTTTAGTAAAACTATGCATACTAATGAATGCCTCGTTGTTGCTAAAATAACCTTTCTTCTGCCAACGAAAGTTCACCTCGATTCTTATCCACATTTAGCCCTTAACTACGTTTTCTAAACCACAACTGACTAGTCCTACCCCCTATCTGAGACTACAGTTGTTAGGTGTTCATACGAATAAAAAAATATGCATTCTTTAGGTGTGCCATAGTTGTGTAGATTCGGAAAGCAAATCATTAGAGTTTTACTTGTACTCCAGGATTTTTTGTTTCATTTCGATGACTGTTATTCGTTCGCGTTGAAATATTTCTTCCCTTATCGATGAGTTCAGCTCGCAAGTAGCTTTGTTTTTAAGTATTCATTAAAAATAACTATTATCGTTCTTTTAAAGATTTTATCGCGGTCAATGGCGCAAGGTAATTTGATACAATTGTCACGACCTCATTCCAATTATTGACCACGGCTGACAAATTTTGAAGCGAGACAAGCGACATCTTTTTGTATTATTTTGGTTTTCTCTTTTTTCGTGAACTGCCTGGATGGAGATGGCATCTTTGTTTAAGTTTAAATCTTATAAAATTTTCTTCATGAAATTTATCGATCTAGACACCTTCAAGGTGTAAGAAATTTGAAGAATTCCTTGCTACATTTACGTCATGTAGACCAACTCAGAAATTTCCTCTTAGCTCCAAAGTTTTTCCTTTAACACCTATACACTTCTATTAAAACTAAATTTTGTACAGAATGTCCCCTCGACTCTATTTCATATGTTTGTCTTCCCAGAAACCTTTTGGGTTACTACACTGGCAAATGTACATGTAATAAATCTTTAAAACGTGCAAATCCTCATTGAAGTGAATGAACATAATTTGAGCGAGCACCTTGAATCGGAGAAAGTTAAGATGGAATTACACATTTTAAAGACTAGGCACAGCACCTTCTTTATAGTATGTGATCACTGTTGCTGTTGCCACCGTGATTGTTTGGGAATTCCATATCAGAATATGTGTTGAGGTTTGTTACTGACTGATAATCAACATCATGCTCTGTGGTTAAAATAGCTCTATCCAGCAATTTCCAAAAATGCTGCACCAGTAGTCTTAAAATTGCATATACAGTACCACTATTTTTTACTTATCCAAACCCCTAAATTTACCAGTAGATTTTAATTGCTAGATTATTTTTAACAGTAGCGTATCCTGTGCACCTGATCTAGAGGTCAGTTTTGATATTTTATGAATGTTTGAGAATTTAATATCAGAACATGTATTGTTATTTTCATTGACTGGTGCACCAACATGACTCCAGTTTCCAATAGCTTGAAGTGACTAGGAGTATCTCTACTCCCCCTGAATGGGATGTTGGTTCATCACAGAGTTACCCCCACCATTAAATTTGCCGGTCTTGCCTAAGAATACAACATAACATCCCCAGCCAGGGCTCAAACCCAGACTACCCAATCCAGAGTTGAGCGCACTAACTATGAGGCCACCACAGGTTCAGGGAGGGGTTGCGGTTGAGGTACAATTGCTCAGATACCAACTTTGATGCATAATTATTTTCAAGCCATTATGCTTGTTCATCACTACATTGGTTTACTTTGATAGATTTACATTCAAGATGGTGCACAGTGTTTATATTTCTTCAAGAGTCTAGATATTTTAGAGGCTTCTTTCTTTAAGATTGGAAGTACATAATTTATCTTTATTGCTACACTGCTGAAAAGGAGAAAATGAATTTTCACATTGCTTTGGGTGTTACATGGGGTCATGCTTCACTTCCTGTTGAATACTTTTCTGTTTCAATATATTAATCAAGTAGAAGGTTATTTTATCATTTATTCTGCATGAATTAATTTAGTATCTATATAGATTGGGAACAAAGTAAAAGGAGTAACATAATCTGTAAAAAGAAGCAGAATGTAGACCACAGCTGTGACATCGTTTTGTAAGGGGGAGTTCACATTTCTCCAGAAACTTCTACATGTTTAGGAAATGGTTCATACTATGCCCTGACTAACATTTGAAAAATACTGAGAATTACTAACCTCAAATCATTCTCAGTGCTTTTTTTTTTTAATGGTCCTCTTCTCAGGTAGTCTCCTTTGCAGCCGTTTTTAGGCTCCTCGCTCACGCTTCAATTTAAATCAAGCAAGCATCAGCAACAGATGCAGTGTTCCTCTTCTTGCTTATTGTTCTAGTTTCCTTCAATTCTCAGAAGGGAAGACTGCTTTTCAGTGATTTGCGGTGTCATGTTTTTCTTCTCAGGCGGTTTGCTAAGTCTGTTAAGAACCTTCCTGGAAGACAGTGTTGAAATAACATTTTTGCAATGTGTTCCAAGTGTGTTACCCTTTTAAAAGTGCTGATACAGTAGTTATCTACATTTTTTTGAGACACTTACACTGATATCATGAAGTAACCATCTTGTGCTATCACCTCACTGAATTCTAACCAAAAGACACTCACACTATCTGGTGTAGATATCTCCAAGAAACAACCTAACTTACAGCTGTATAACTTTCAGTGCTACTGGAAAAACCTGCTTGAAGTCTCATCTTAGGGAAAATTTCTGTTAAATATCATCTCCTATCTTGGAAATTTGTTTGTTTAGCTTGCTGTAAATTGTATTTTGTGCAGAATCTGTTTTAAACAGAACTGAATGTACAACATGAAATTACCACCCTATCTCAGAGATTCAGGCAGTAGGACTTACAGATCACCCCTATATGCATTGTAAAATAAACAGATAAGAACGAAATTACTTACATGTGCTGTATGTGCATTATACAGAATTTTCCATGTTGGGTAGAACTAAAAATCATAGACTCTTTACTTTCTACATGTACATGTATGTGATGGAATGTGCTTGGTTGACCCCTCTTCATGTCTTCAGTTGACACTCTTGCCTTGCGTGATACTTGACAGTGATGCAACCTAAGCCTAATGCATATATTTACATCATAGATAAGCTGGTGAGCCCTTGGTGTTGCAATTCGATCCCCTCTCATTCTGTTCAACATTTTGTCATTTTGTAATTTGTTACAAGAGTTCCAATTGTGCTAAGTTTCTGTGCCTGAAGTTGACTGGTTTCATGCGATAGTTTTAAGGCTCATTTGTGGGAAAATTAAGTCTAGCAAGTTGTGAAAGCTGAGATGTGATGTAAAATGTCAATTAATGGGTTTGATGTTTGTGCTGGCCCCTGACAGTATGATCAATGGGAACAAAGGGTAATTGATTCTGCAAATTGAACAAATAAACTAAGGTTGTTTTGTTGTGGGGACCTGGGGCTGATGCAACCAGAGATAGCCGTAGAAAATAATGAATTTATAAGCTAGATTGTAAGCATTCCAAAGGCAAGCAAATCAATACAATAGCAGACACCTTGGCTGCCACAATCTGTGTTGCTGTCCAAAAGCTCCCTATCCTCTGCAGTCCAAATCTCTGACAAAATCAAAGAACTCTCTTGCCTAGTCAAGATCTGCATCTTCTTTGTTGTTAGTCCATTAATCTGAAAGCTCAAAAAGTGAAATGGAGGTATGTTGCTGTATTTTTAGTGTGACTGAAATGAAACTGTGTTCATGTTGTTGGGCAACTATCCTATTCAGGAGGTTGGGTCACTCCCTTGAAGTGATCTGTTTTCCAACTCCATTCCCAATTTCCTCGATAGTGCAATTGTGCGAGATAAACTGATGCTGTGACTTCTTCACATAGACAAAATTTTATCCAGGAGCAATATTACTGAACTTAAAATTGTCAGGTCATCCTGTTCTTGCTTGACATGCAAGCTCACTGAGCTTCATTTATGTAAATTATGTTGTTGACTAAAGGATAATCTGTAGTTGAGCCCATGATCTTTTACAACATGCAAGAGAAATATGTACCAAGGAGGATCTTTTCCCTGTATTTGGCTATGTTTATGATTTCTCCTCATTTTAATGGATTTTCTAGCTACAAATGTGTTATGTATTAGAAAATGGACCAATCTGTAATCTTGCCAGTTGTGTTACGAGAGCTCTCTTTGGTAAATTAGCAAAAATCTGCTTAACTGAAGCAATCTGTTTTAGCAGTAAGATTTCTTTGGTAGTTTGGCTGTGCTCTTGCTGTTTATTTCTCTAATGCTGTCCATGTCCTGCTTGTTTTGGCATCTGTATGTCCCCATAGTAAGAATCAAAGCTAAGTGAATGAGGGATTAGTAACTGCTGGATGCTAACCCACAAGTCAATTAGCATTTTTCTCACAGCAGAGTCCCATTATGGATTATTTCCAACCATGTTTGATCAGCAATGGTTCATGAGTTTTAATATACTCCCTTTGTGTGAGACCTTTGAATGGATACCAGCTCTTGCTGCTTGCATTACAGGGTATTTAAAAAAAGAAAACTACATGAAACTGGCATTCTTTTACTACACAAATGACTTTAAACCTCCTGAAACTCTCTCATTTCTGTTTGTGTCTGTTTTCATTTGAAGCTTATTCAAGCTGGTCTTGTTAAAAAACAATATTATAAAATATTGTCTAACTCATGAAGACTTTTCCAGTGCAAACATGTTTGAACTAAACAATAATTACAGGCCTTTAAACTTTTCTCTATATTTGGTCATAGTATTTGATTCACTAGCTTTTAACATATTCATCTATGCAATGATACAACTGAAAGGTCAAGCTACTCAGTGACCCCACCCAATTCTATAGTACATTTCTGAAATATTTTCTTGGAGGTCTGTGAGCTCTTTACCAGATTTTAACCATAAAATCTTTTAGATGAAATACTGACACTTATTAAATGTATTCTGTGATAGTGTTTTCTAACAGCAATCAAATAAGAACAATCAGTATAGTGCAGACAAGAGCATAAAGCACACAGAGAGACCAGGCACTTTGATCATAGTGTGACAAAGCTGTTCTCTATTTATATGCTAGGTGGGCAGCTTTTAATGTTAATAGATCCAGGGTTGTTAAGCTGTTGACAAGAAAACTATAAACCCTTCATTTTTTTGCTCTTTTGCTGTTAAGAAAAAATTCAATGTTATGAAGTACACCTGAAAAAATTGTTTGATGTTTTGAATGTACGTTTTAGAATTTAGAAACATAGCACAGATATTCTGAGAGCTATATGACTACTTTACATTTTTCCTACACTGCTTAACCTTTGTACAGAACCCTATGGCAAGCTCAAAGTTTATCATCCATTCCATGTTATGTTCTCTTGTCTAAAAATTCTATGAAATTGTGCTTCTTAGGAACAAGAGCATTTGCCTGCTGTTTAGTAACTTATTTTGGACATAGGAATTTCATAGCCATTTGAATATTTTGACCTCTGTTGGTGCTGTGTTTGTGTCTTTTTAATAAGTAAAGTTGACTTTGAGCCACAAAATTTAGTTCAGTCCTGTTTGTAAATTTGCTTTCTGCTTCTGCTACAGAATTTATGCCTTTTGCTGTATGTTGTAATTAGCAACAAGGAGAAATTCAGTACCTTTGATATATTTCAGTGTGACACTTATCAACAGACATGTTTCATGTACATCTATTTGTAGAATTTTTTTGGAGTCAAGACAAGGTCGAATCATTTATAATACCCTTGTAACGAAAGACAAAAGAGTGAAATGTTTATTAATTTTAAATATTTTCAAAAGTTCTTGTGGCATTTGATGAGCACAGTCTTGGTGTAAAGTCATCAAAATAGAGAACTGACAGTCTGCCCTTGAATGAATGAGTGGTCATGTTTACAGCTTCTGTCTGAGTCTTGTGATGTTACGCGATAAACTTTATTTATTCAGGTTAGCTCATTCAGTGACTAGGCTGGTGTCCAGGGGTCTTGATGTTAAAACTAAGAATTTTGTTGTACAATAAAAATTACTTATACATGTACAGTGTACATATAAAAACTACAAATATATTCCTAAAAATTTTATAAGGTATGATAACAGATTTACAACATTTGCATGCAGTCTTGTAGGCAAAGCATTTAAAAATGGAAGTTATAAAAACTAAAGAGGAATCAAGAACCCAACCATAACTAATTCCTTTACCTGTTTACAAGTCTAGCTAACGAACACTGCAAAGGATGGGCAACTGGACCAAAATGAAATCCCTGATTTTAAAAAGTAAATGTGATTCAATTGTAGGCTGATTCTTTGACCTGACCACAATTTAAAGAAACTACCAAATAAGAAAATTTCTAACAGCACATGTGGATAAAAATGCCCCCACCTAAGTTAATGAAAACTGCTCCTTGATAACTCAAACACAACGAAATATATGAAACTCATATATCTGAACTGCTGTTATAAACACGTATTAGTGCACAATCCTCAAATCCCGTACAGGCCTGAATTTTTTTCAGGTCTGATTTTCACTATTGCTTAATTAGTGCTCTTTATAGTGAGGATTGTGTGCTAATACGTTTCCTTGAGAACTGTTGACTGGCAATTTTTGAATTTGTATCAAGTTGTATACATTTTGAATTGCATCATAGGACGAAGCAGCCAAGAGAAGGGAACAAAGGAGAAAAGAGCGGGAAGCAAGGCGTGCAGAAAGAGATGCAGAAGACGCAGCTGATGAAGAGAAGAGAAGAAAGGAAAGGGAAGAGCGACGAAAAAGGAGAGATGGTGGAGGTGGAAGAGGTGTGTGCATACTACAGTTTGTCTCCAAAGATCAGACTACTTAAAGAACCTATGACATGAATTTTTTTTTCTTGGCTTTTCTCAGCTTGATGCATATAAAAAACGATTTTAAGCTTTAATCCGGGCGGAAATGTCTTCAAACCCCTTTTTTTTAGTTCAAAACACGCGCTATCTGTGAATGAAATTGTCCCCTCCTCCGTGCGGCCAAAACATCGCATGATTTTCTTTCGTGACATCAAGTTGTGTACAGCCATTAAAACCAACATGGATGACAGTGCGGCAAAAAGTTTGATTCTATAATCTATAGAATCAGCAGAGTGACACTTGGTCAAATGAATGACTCGCCTCTCACCTCCACATGTTCCGCAACTTGGTGTTTTGTGTACACAAAACTACGTCACGAAGGCCGTCGCAAGGGTTGAACTAGGTCCCAGGCCCTGAGACAGTTTTCACCACAAGATAGTACTTTTTAGAGTGCAAAAATTCAGGTTTAAAAACGTTTCCACCGCATTGAAGGTTAGAATTGTTTTTTATATGCATGACTCGCCTCTCACCTCCACACGTTCCGCAACTTGGTGTTTTGTGTACACAAAATTACGTCATGAAGGCCGTGGCAAGGGTTGAACTAGGTCCCAGGCCCCGAGACAGTTTTCACCACAAGATAGTACTTTTTAGAGTGCAAAAAATCAGGTTTAAAAACGTTTCCACCGGATTGAAGGTTAGAATCATTTTTTATATGCATCAAGGTAAGAAAAACCGAGGAAAAAAATTAATGTCATCGGCACTTTAATATCTAAGAATTATCCTACCTGGAGCACAGAAAATTTCTTTTAGCTTGCATCCAGGGAAGTGGAGGTATGATGAGTGTCACCGAGGTTCACTTTCACATATTTTCTAACGTTTTCTAACTTTCACATGTTTTCTAATTGTAACGTAAGAACAGACATGTAATTTCTAACGTACCTTGATATAAATTTGCATTTTAATTTTTTTTTTTTTTAACATAGTGTTTATTATTGTGATGATCACTCTCATCTTGATAAATGTACATGTATGTGTGTTGGTTTTGTATATTACAGACGAACCTGCTGAAGAGAATGCATCAGCACGCCGCCGCCGTGAGAGAGGTTGGCCAGACTTTAGTATTAGTTTGTATGGTTTACAGTAGCCTGGCACCATCTGTTGCACAAACAAACCCCTCCTTTGTTGGTCAACACCATTAAATTTTCTTTAATTCTAATCATAATCCTCAACATAATGGATGGCTTAATTTAAACCATTTTTTTCTGTCAGAGGAGGAGGAGAAGAGAAAGGCTGAGGAGGAGGCAGCAGAGAAAAGGCGCAAAGAAGAAGAAAGACAAAGAGAGGAAGAGAGGCTAAAAGAGGAAGAACGGCGAAGAAGACGTGAAGAAGAGGAGGAGGAGGAGAGAAGAAGAATGGAAGAAGAAAAAAACCGACTCAATCAAGATCATGTTGATGGAGATGAACAGGATGAAGAAGAGGAAGAAGACGAGGAGGAAGACGAAGAAGAAACTATAGTTGACAGACTGAATCCCCAGAAAAAGCGTGAGTGCCTTCTAATTTTTGCTGTATAATTCACTGAAGCACTGCCTCTCACAAATCCACATTTAGTTTGAGGAAGGAGGAAAAATACTATGGTTTCCCTTCTTTAGTAAGCTTTTTTTAATGAATGATAAACAATCAAGCCAAGGTTACCCACAACAGCCAAATGTTATATAGAATAGAATTGTGGCTTTCTAATAGCTTAATTTACAATTCAAAGCATCATTGAATGCAGAAAGTGTACATTCATTGAGACCCTTGAAGACTCCATGAAAGTCTGGGAAGGGTAAACTACCTGTACATAATACAGTGGATCTTTAGAAAACAAATTACATCAAGCCAATCAAAGGTTGAGCATAAAAAAGTGAAATCTCCTGCAGTATTTTGTAGATGTTGATTTGAGAGATTTTGGTGCCAGTCAAATGTCAAGTTCAGACTGTTTGATCCTTTTTTTGCTACTTCTGTACTTTTTTTATGGCTGTCAGAGTAGAGATTGGAAATTTAATCACAGTTTTCAATTACTCCTGGGCTATTGGCTGATTTAGCTGGGAAAACATAACAAATGTTTACATATGATGCATTATCCTTCCCAGTAGATAGCGCTTTTTATGCAATAGCAAAAATCAGACCTGAAAAAAGTAAGGCCTGTACAGGATTCGAACCACTGACCTCTGCGATACTAGTGCAGCACTCTACCAATTGAGCTAACATGCCAACTGGGAGCAGGCCGTTAAGTTGATTCGTAATAAACCCGTGATGATAAATCAGATACAATGAATATAGGAAGTTCATATATTTTGAACTGCGGTATTAAATACGTATAGTCAGCAGTTCGAATCCCGTACAGGCCTGATTTTTTTCAGGTCTGATTTTCGCTATTGCATAAATAGTGCTTTCTACTGCGAAGGATCATGCATCATACGTATGTAATACCGCAGTTCAAGATAAATAAACTTCATATATTCATTGTATCTGATTTATCATCACGGGTTTATTACAAATCAACTTAATGGCCTGCTCCCAGTTGGCTTGTTAGCTCAATTGGTAGAGCGCTGCACTAGTATCGCAGAGGTCAGTGGTTCGAATCCCGTACAGGCCTGATTTTTTTCAGGTCTGATTTTCGCTATTGCATAAATAGCGCT